CATTCTTGAGTACTCAGCATTGTGTTGCTTTTCTATTTCACCTAACTGTCTACAGAGTTCAGGTAAAACAACTAACAATAGTTGGTAGTTGCGTTTAATTATGTATACCTGTATGCAGGATTTACAAGGAGTCGAAGGAGCAGAAGCTCTACAGTTAAATAAAGTTGGCAAATATTTAATACAAGGCGAACTTCTCTTAAATTTATAGCTTAACAAAAAAAAAGGGGGAAAACCTTGTCGATTTGGCGAATTTGCGCCGAAAGCGATTTGTGAAACACAAGCGATTTTCATTGTCATCAGTTGAGAGAGAGAGAGAGGGAGAGTGTGCTGTGTAGAGAGAGAGAGGGAGGGAGAGCATGAGGATTTAAACAGCAATAGAACACTAAGTCAGGCATTTTATGCGCACGAGATTGAGTTTCATGAGAATGGTTGTAGGAGAGACTGTTGAGAGGGGGAAGGTGGCGGGGTTCGAATTCGGGCGGCAACTTTGTCGGCTGCCTACTTTGCGGCGCATATTCTAATCACTCGAGTCACGCAAATGTCAATGTTGCTGTCAAAGTGTCAATGAAATGTTCAATGAAAATAAAACGAGCAAGAAATAAGAGCCGAGCAGTGTAGAGGGGCGGGGCGGGGGGGCGCGGGATTCCCTTTTGAGGTGTAGCGCAAAGTTGTGCCAACAGGCAAAGACTTGCGGAAAGCAACAACTTTGCGCAAGTTTCAGTCTTTTGGCTGACGGCGTTTGTTATTGAAAATGTGGCTTATATGGAAATGCCGTGGCAAAATGTTTTCCTTTTTCTTTTCTTTTCCTTGCCGCCTTCGTTTTTTTTCTTGTTATTTGTTTTATTAATAAGGCGCAAAAGCGCAAGCCAAGTGCCGCATTGTGCAGTCGACTGTGCCTCGATCTCATTGTCTTTCTTCTTCCAGCTGCCTTCCCATCTCTCTCGCACACTGTCTCTCTGTCCCTCTCTCTCGGTGTGTGTGTGTGTGCGTGCGGAAGTCCTTTGGCGTGTGCCAGTTTATTTTCTATTCAGTTTTTTGCTTCGCTTGGCTCTCAATTAAATTTTATAGGCGACGCCGGGCCTTTAGGCTCAACGCCAAGTCCTCAACTATGGCCAACAAAAATTAATAGAGCAAAAAATGCAAACTCACTTTAACTACTCAGCAATTGCTAGAACAGTTCTATGATGATAATGAAATCGCTTTTAACAACTAACTATTATTATCGAAGAGCTCTATACTTAAGTGACTTAGTTCTTGCCATTTGTACGACTTTATTTTGGATTGGAGTTGAATAACAAATGTCTGGTATACTGTAATTCTACTGCGTTCCTCAGAATAATGTTTCGGCTATATCACATTAAACTGCATCAGAAAGTTAATTCATTTATATAATTTTTTTTTAATGCTTCGTAAAAAAGTCCCATAGCCCTTACAATTATATAAATATAAGGACCACAAAGAACAAATTTTGTGTTTCCTAAGTTATTTGAGTAAAAATTGTTGTTTCCCTTGATACTTTATAAGAATAGCATGGATAAACATAATTATAAGAGATGTGATTTATTTCAGACCGACTTTATGCAATAAAATAAATATTAGATTTGAATAAATTAAAAAAATATACAAATAATTTACTGGGCTTTTCTTGATAGACTGTGAGGCAGATTAAATATCGATAATCGAAAAAAAGTCGTGGACAGGTACGGAATTGGATCAGCTCTCTGGCTCGACTCTCTCGAGACAGTCATGAGAATGGCTTATTTATTTAAAATATATTTAGACCTTTTCATAAATAATATAAAATATGCAAGTTAAGTCGCACAACTTTATTGATCCACACAGGACTCGACTCTATTTGCCCCCACAACCAGAGCTCATAATTTTAAACCTGTTTGCTACTAGCTCATGTTAATTGTCCTGAAGACAGCCTCCACTTCCGCAGTTTATGCCCATTTATTGACTAGCCTGTGCATGTCTCGAGGACACACACGAGCGGAGGCAAGAGCTCGATGGAAATGTGCCACAATTTACACTGCCAGCAGAGCAGCCAAAATTTGACGCCTGATCAATAATATTGACTGAGCTGCTTGAAACAATTGCGGCGCTCAGGGGAACAGGGGGGGGGGGGGGGGGGCAGGTTAAATAAAATTTGCATGCAGCAGAGCAGCGACAGGTAGAATGATGACGAAATTAAAGCAATACAACGTGCTGCAGTCATGGATGATATAGTCATAGATATAGAAGTCGCATCGGGGCAAAAGCTAAGCGCTTCATTGGCCCCAGGAGTATGTGCAGGCAGGTGTGTGCAGGCAGGTGTGTGTGTGTCTGGCTGGTTGCAAATTTGGGGGGGAGGGGAAAATATATTCGAGCGCACGTAGGAAATTACAAACGGATGTAAATACATCAATTCCAAATGAAGAGCATGTGCACTCAATGCCACAAAATGGGCGAAATGAGTGGGCGTGGCAGTGCGAAGGCACAACCAAATCAAATAGCTACAATAAGCCCACACAAACAATTCAATATGCGTGGACAGCGCAGCCTGACAACAGCTCTGACAACAGCTCTGACAACGACTTTGACAACAACTCCGACAACGACTCTGACATGCACCTGAGATAAACTCTAACTGTGTGCGAGTGTGTGTGTGTGTGTGTGTGCGTGTGTGTGCGTGCTGCTGACTAGCATCAATTGCAATTAATTGTAAATGTCTTGCAGACAAAATTAACACATTGGGTCTCTCGTAAAATAAATTGAAGCCAATTGACGCTTGCCCCAAAGCCAAACTCGGCAAACTGCACGCCAACTGGCAACAATTTGCATGCCAAGTTCGGAAAGTTGCCAGAAACGCTTTCGGCTGCTATGCAAGAATTATGAATCTATAGTTAAGGGCAAAGGATAGTTGCAAAGGTGTAAATGGGAGCTAGAAATCGAATCCCTTAATTGGCATTCGACAAAGAAAAAGGGAATAGGATGGGTTTGCCTCTTAATTGATAAGAATTGACGGCAAAAGCATTTCATTCTTTAAAAAAAATATTCAACAAATAAAGCAAAAATATTTAGCTACAGAACTGTTTAGCCACATGCAAGTCGCGTGGCCGCACAAAAATGAAAAATAATATTAGTTAAAGGCAGGAAAAATAGCGCGTAGCTTTTTAATTACTACTGCAAATTAATTACGGAAAATGGCTGAGAGCGGCGGGCAGTGGGAGACGCAGGATGTGCGTGGTAATCACATCCTTAAACATCCTTAGTCGTAGCTGACTTATTTGCACTTATTTATTCATTTAGATGGCAATTAAAGCGTACGAAAATTAAATAGAAAACCATTTGGCTGCATTTCAAGCAGAATAAAATAACACAAACTTTAATTTGTATGAACGCGCGTCTGTCGGAACAATTTTTATTTATTTAATTTAATTTTTTTCGTTTTTTGAATTTCTGCTGATTTTTTATTTTAGTTTGGCGCTGCCTTTATATCAAACTGCGAGCCGGGCGGCTGTGCAACGGCCATAAGTGCATAGCAGAGCGGAAAGTCGGTCGGGGGTGGGGAGGGGAGGGTGCTGGATGGGTCCGTGGATTGTCGGGTGACTTGGGTCGACGGAGGCCGAGTCCATTCCATTTCCAACTAAATAAATAAAAAGTGAATTTTTAATTAAAAGTTAAGTGGCAACTCATTTAAATTAATGTTGACTCAAGCGTCATAGCAAAACATTTGGCGAGCGAAGGCGAACAGAGAGCGAAAAAAGTAAGAACCTTGCAGTCGCATGCAAGCCGACTGGCTAATGCCCGTTCAAGCAAGTCCTTTGTTGATCTTAAGAGGAGCTCATCGGAAGCATTCACTTCGATTTAATGCACTGAACCCTTAAAACAAGGGAGGGGATAAGAATTTTTGTAACGTCAATTAGGCCCAAAAACTTGGCCTCCATATAGACAGAAAGGATAACGAACATTGCTCAAAACCAATATACTCATTTGGTTCACTTGGTGAGCGAGTATAAAAAGTGGACTGCGTTTGGTAGGCCAGGGGTTAGTTTTGGCGGGGACTCGACCCTTTCGCGCATGCAACCCTAAATAAGCATAATGCACTGCAGGACCTTGACTAGAAGCTGCGTAATGGAGCCATAGATGTTGCACAAAATTGCTCGTCACGTAATTAGAACGGAATATAATGCTGGGAAGGGATATGGAAGAAATTGTGCACGCACTTAACTGGACAGTCTGACATAGTCCGGCGATAATGGTAATGGGCGAGTAAAGCAAGCGAGTGAAGAAAATATAGATACTAGTAAAGCATACTTGACGAGTAGAAAAAAGCGACGAGAGAAATAAATCGAAGGATTATTGCGTAAGCAATGAGTGCTACATGATAGCTGACGAGACGAAAAGGGTCAGATGATTGAAGAGTAGCGACGAGCAAATTATACTTCACAAATAACAAGGACAAGCTAGCAGTAGGTTAAATGCAACGAGTTTAGCATAAGCAACGAGAACATCGTAGGCTACAAGAGAATGTGCAGCGATAATAAAATAAGTAATGAGCACAGAGACGAGTACAGCGGATGCAACAAATGGTAGATTGAAAGAACGAGTAAAGCCGGCAGCAAGTGGAATTAATTGAACGAGTAGAGCCTTACCTACGGAAGCAACGAATGCGATGAGTAGAGGATAACGAATGGGCGCTGCAACGAGTGGTAGAACGAAAGGACGAGTAAAGCATGCAGCGAGAGGAATGTATTTAACGAGTAAAGCCTTACCTATGGAAGCAACGTATGCGACGAGTAACTGATAACGAATAATAAATGCAACGAATATTAGAATGAAAAGACGAGTAATGCATGCAGCGAGTGGAATTAATTGAAGCAGTATAGCCTTACCTACGTGAATGCGACGAGTAGCTGATAAGCCAGCAGTGGAATCCATTTGATAAATTGATCAATTTCTCTCTCAAAGTAAATTGACGCTTATAATTCCAGCATAGTAGTCTCTCAGATTTAAGTAGGTCATAAGCTAGAACAACAGTAGATATTGATTAGTGAACACTGTAGGCACATTACAAAATTATAACAATGGAAGACACAAGCGAATCGAGTTGCTCTGCACTCCACACAGCAGAGACGGACAGTGAACAGCAGACGCCAAGTCAGAGCGAGGCGAATGCGATGGACACGACCGAGGAGCAGGAGGAGCTGGGCGAGCTGGGGGAGCAGGAGGAGAAGCCGATGTGCAGTGCCGACAGCCAGAAGAGCAAGAAGCGATTTACGGTCAAGAAATGGAATGCGGTGGCCATGTGGGCCTGGGGTAAGCCTTAAGTAGCTCAAAGCTGATTATTAAACAATTTCCGGTGCCCAACCCGGCATTCCTCTACGTCGCCTTCTCCTCCTTCTCCTCCTTCTCCGCCTCCTCTACGTCTTAATATAGATATTGCTGTGGACACTTGCGCGATTTGCCGCAATTCCATAATGGATCTGTGCATCGAATGCCAGGCGGACCCGAATCAGAATTCCTTCGAGGAGTGCACCGTGGCCTGGGGCGTCTGCAACCACGCCTACCATTTCCATTGCATCTCACGCTGGCTCAAATCCCGCTCCGTCTGCCCGCTGGACAACCGCGAGTGGGAGTTCCAGAAGCTGGGCCGCTAGACGACCAACAGGGGCTCGGAGTGTGTAGAGGTAATCGCGGCGCTCAAGTAATAAGAAATCGTTGCGCTGACTCGACGTCCTGAACTTTATCATTATTTTGTGTTAATTATGCATCTTTCGCCGGCTGCCGGTTCAGTTTTTGGGGCGTGGCATGGCGGCGCATCTCAATGCCCAATTATCATTTGTGTGCTCGCAACTTTTGCGGGCACTTAATAAACGGCTACGGCTCCGGCTCCAGCTCCAGCTCCGGATCTGCTGTGCAACTCAAAGTTTATCCGCAGTTTTTGGGTGCAACTATCGAGGGGGAAACTTATCAATTTTGCAGCTCGCCTTTCACGTTGGCAACCTTTGAACTTTGCGCAATAAGTTCGGCCGGGCGCGCATCTTGAGATATTTTCAGTTTCAACAATTAGCTCAGGGATTCTATGAGAAGTGCGCTTTCCGGCCGCGGCCTCTACTGTCTGTATTAGCTGCGGTGCAAACACGCCAGATAATTAAATAGAATTACAGTTTAATTGTTGCCCAAGATACATCATCAACACGCCAGTCAGCCCAGCCCCGCCCAGCCCAGCCCAATCCCAGACAATGAGCCCCATCTCGATTGTCTGCTGTCAGACGCTTCGCTTCGCCCGCCCACCAAATAATTTCGCGCACAACAAATTGGCAGCTTTCCATTCAACTTGTCTAAAACTGTGCATGATCGCCCATCCTGCGCTCCGTAACCCCCTTCATCCACTTCATCCCTACCACCCACAAGTGGCGCCCTGCCATGCCACGCGCCAAGTTGCTTCATTTAATTTTTGCACGAAAATTAAGTTTGTTTTCCATTAAGTTAAATAATTACAAAATTATCCACCACTCAAAGGCTTTTCTCTGTGCTAAGTGTGTGTGTGTGTGTGTGTGTGCGTATCGCCGAATGTGTGTGTGTGTGTGTGTGTGTGTGCGTGTTTGTTTTTGCTGGAGTGGCAAACGCTGCTGCGACGAACCAGACTCGGCAGCTGCACTTTTCCGTGTAACTGACAATGATAGCTGCCTGGTTGACTGACTCCCCATCTGACCAGGGCTGCAAAGCCACCAAACTAACGAGGCAAATATAGAATATCTCCATATATAAAACTGTTTGTCCTGACTGAATGACTGACTGACTGACTGACTGACTGACTGACTGACTGACTGACTGACTGATTGACTGAGTTAGGAAGCTGAAATTTTCAACGTAGTTACCATATGTGATGAAGGTGCACTTTAAGACGGGGATTTCGGGAAATTCCGCCCGCATCTGTGGAAAAAGCGTGAAAAAGTTTGTATGAAACTTTTTTGTTTACCATCCGATCGGCCTCAAACTCATTTTCAAATATCTTTGTACAAATTCATTTGATGGGTGTTTCACACTTTTCGAAGAAATGCATTCCTTCTTGGTGGAAATGGGGGTCAAAGATTCCACCCACAAAAGTGGTAAATTAGCGAAAAACGTTTGTATGAAAGTTTTTCGTTTTTCGTTTAACATCCGATCGGCTTCAATATCACTTTCAGAGATATTTGTGAAAATTGGCTGGGAAATGCGGGTCAAAGGTTTAACAAACGAAAGTTTATTCTTTAGCTTCAAGATTCTCACCGCAAGACTAACATGGGCGGAAACCGTTGATTCCAACACTTGGTTCCTTATTCGATGCACTCAAAACATATTTTTAAATGGAAGTGGACATCAAGATTGGAAATATTTTCGCCCAACATATAGACGCTTACTTCTCTATGGTTACCCTGACTTTTATACCTTCCTTTGGATGTCGCCGGTCCTATAGCTCACTTTCGACCCAATTGGAAGCTTCCTTGAACTAAGGGTTGATCATCATCAGCACAAACTATTTTGTAGACATAAATAAGTAGAAATCAAATTTAATTTTAAGCTTTTAATTCAGACTAATTACCTTTGCAAATTATTTTGCATGCATTTAGCTTCTCGCTTGAGAACTATTCGTTTGTCAGCCCTGGCTTGCACGCCTGTTGGTTCTGGATAAAGTTTTGCTTAAACGCTGCTTTTGGCCTGAACCAAGGCTCATTATCTTTTCATTCGGTTTTTCTTTTTGGCTCTTTTCTGCATTTGTCTGTGTCTGCGCGCTACGGCGTTTCTTTTCTTTAACGCTTCGCTAATCAAATTCAACATTTTTCCGTTTTAATTTGACAATTCGAAAACAGACCAGCCTTGGGGGCGGGCCGGGTAGCTTCGGTGGGAGCTGACAACAGCTGTGCGTTGTCAATTGGAAAATGATAAAGTGTCTAACATATAAGGAAAGAATAGAAATTGGCATTGCGAATGTAACTGACTGACTGTTAATGGCAGGGGCTGCTCCAGTTGCGAGTGCGAAGCTTGTTACTCAATCACTTTTCATCAGACCCTCCACACTTGTCCTTGGAGCTGACCTGCAGTGCGCAACTCGCCACTAAATGCATTGCAATTAGCGCAAATTATCCGTGTCCAGTTGCAGCAATTGTCTGCAGCTTGATTGAATTTACTTGGCAAGCGCGTGACTTGCGTCCAGGCGACGTGCAGGGTATGCCATATTAAGTATACGCCATGCCACATCAAGTATACGCACCGCCACCCAAGCATTGCACTTCCCAGGTCTTAGTTGCCGAAATGTGTTCGTTCGTGCTGCTTTAAGCTTGTTTGATGTGATAACGAGACAGAATTTAAAGTCTAATATTTAAGCATATTTTGTTTTAATTATGACGAGCCGTTTTTTGCGTCTGTGACTCGGCTTTTTGTCATAATTTATGCCGGCTTTTCATATGTGGCCCTCTTAGCTCACTTATCAGCTGCCTTGCAGGCGACTTGCAGCGGGACTGTTGGTTGTCAATATAATTTAGGCAAATGTATGCAACTTTATACTATATACATATACGGCAGCTCTGTGCCTGTGCCTGATACATTTAACTTTGGCAATTTTTAATCACAAAACTTTGCCGTAATGGGTCGGTCGGCTCAATCTCGGCGCGTCTCGGAGCACAGACGAGGCATTTGCATATTTCTAATTCCAAAGTTGTAATTAGTATAATTTTACAGCTCTAATTGGATGATGATTTGCGCCAACTTCATTTAGTCCGTTGCGTCGTAGTATATGCACATGCATCAGAAGGCCAGACCGTAACCTTCATTTAGATCCGGGCCAAAAGTGAAAGTCATTAACATAAGTTTGTAATTACTGAGTCCACGGCATAGACTCATATCTGTGTCTCCCCCTTATCGTCTAGCTGGGCTTATGTCATAAAATTGCCAGCTGTCTGAGTAAATGCTGACAGACTTGCACGGCTCGAGTGCTGCATATATGGCTGATACCTTGAGAGGCTTAAGGCAAAAGTCAGCCAAGCAGGCGGACACTTCTCTTGGTTGTCAGAAATTTGCAAATTTTGCTTCCAAGCATCATTCAAGATAAAACATTTTGCATGACTTCCAGTCGCACAATCCAAAATTAACCGTCTTCTGGACAACAAATGTATTTTTTAAAGCATGTTTTTTGGTACATTTTCCTTTTTTCTGCTCTGCCCAAACATGAATTTTGAAATATTATCTTAAATTGATTGCTTTTATCAAACTTGACCAATCAAAACCAATTTTCGAGGCAGTCTTTTTCTTTTTGCTACATTTACTAGATTTTTTGCTTTTTTTTTTAATTTAAAATAAATATGCGAGAGTCGGATGAGATTTACCTTGCATAAGCTTTGCTTTGGGCGGGTTACAAAATTTCAACAATTTTTCTAAATTAATTTTTAATGCATTTTTAAAAGTTTCTGTTTGATTATATGTTGCTCTACTTTCCATTCAAAAATATCTTGCATACTGCGAGAATATTTTCAAAGCAAAAAGGCAAATAAAAATGTGCTCAATCTTTTGCAAGCATCGCCCAATATCATGTGAGTCGACCAAATGCAAAGCCTAAAAATAAATACGACCAAATCCCAGTGAGCACAGTCAAGCACACATGCACATACATCACATACATCACATACACTACAATGGGCATTGAGCTGAGTTTTGAAGTCATTTTGAATGTTTTTGATTTCACTGATTTGTTTATTTATGCATAAAGCATGCAATTTTTGCCTTTTACGCGAGCATCAGCAGAAAGAGAGAGATTGTAAGGGGGCGGCGGTTCGTATGGGCCAACCCATCGTCTATTCCTTTTATACCCTTGCAGAGGGTATTATAAATTTGTCTTGAAATGTGTAACGCATAGAAGGAGACATCTGCGACCTTATAAAGTATATATATTCTAAATCGGTATCAACAGACGAGTCGATATAGCCATGTCTGTCCTTCCGTCTGTCTGTTTCCATGCGAACAAGTCTCTCAGTTTTAAAGCCATCAGCAGATGTGCGTCTTTCTGTTGCATGCAGTACATATAGCGGAACCGGCTGGATCGGACCATTATATTATATAGCTGTCATAGAAACGATCGGTCGATAAGTAGGTTCTTGTATGAAAAACTTTTTTGTTTATTAAGTTATATTAACCAAACTCGGCATTTATTAGTTTCGCTATCCTTACCATATATTTGCAAAATCCTATCAACATCGGACCACTATATCATATTTCATACCTTAGGAACGATAGGTCGAAAATGAAGTTGTTGTATGAAAAAGTTTTTTGTTTTTCAAGTTATCTTTACCAAACTCGGCATTTATTAGTTTTGCTATGCTCCTTACATAGATGCAAAACCCTATCAACATTGAGCCATTATATCATATAGCTGCAATAGGAACGATTGGTCAAAAATGAAGTTGTTATGAAAAAGTTTTTTGTTTTTCTAGTTATCTTAACCAAACTGGGCATTTATAAGTTCCTCTATGCTCCTCACATTTATGCAAAATCTTATTTACATCGGACTACTATATCATATAGCTTCCATAGGAACAATCGGTAGAAGTTGTATGAAAACCTTTTTGTTTTTCAAGATATCTTAAACATACTCGGCATTAACTTTTTGCACTCCACTTCTTAAATACGGGCAAAGCACTATGAGCATTTTGAAAAGGTTGGATCTGCAAGGGTATTAAATCTTGGGCGTGCCGAAGATAGCCCTTCTTTCTAATTTTTTTTTTTTTTGCTGAAAGTTTTGCTGCTGTTGCTGTTGTTGGGGGTACTTGGAGCGGGGCTGAGAACTTTAGCTGGGCCAGAAAACTTAGATATTCCATGCGAATGCACTCACACGCAAT